CTCTCTCTCTCTTTTCCTTTTTTTAAGTCGAACACGTACTTGTCGGTTTTAAATTTGTTTTTCATTTCGTGGTACAATCCAAACTTTTAACTGTCAAGGTGATTTGAAATTGATAAAGAATCTAACAATCATTGCTTTCAATCTAATGCCATTGATGAGTTTGATCTTCGGCTTTGATGATTCGTTTTTAAATTTTAGTATTTAAATTTAATTAATCAAGAATTCAATTTTTACCCAATGATTTGAAAAAAAATCCTATCCCCAAATTCCCATGTTTAAAAAAAAAAAAATCTCCATTTCATTGATAATGGATGTATTGTTGTTATCTTCCTTTAATAATTAACCAATCAATCCTCTTGATTATCCTTAGAATAAAAACAACTACAAGTACATAAATAAATATTACCAATTTCCTAATTTTTATCACTTAAAAGTTAGTTATTTACACTATTTTTACCTATTTGAGATGCAGAGTATTATTTTTATTTTATTTTATTATTTTCAGATAGGACACACAATTACTTGCTTTTAAATCAATCTTTAATCTCAATAAACCAATATCCAAACTCTCCACAGGGCAATTTGCAACTGCTAAACAATCCAAAAAAAAATTATTTTCGATCCAAATCCTATCTACAATAATGCACATACTTCTTTACTATCTTACTTTATTAATCAATTCGATCAAACTATTCCTTTTTCATACTTGTAAAACAGCAAAAACAAGAATAAAAACAAATAGACAAATATCTAAACTTTCATCATTAAAAAATTTGTTGTTTACAATACTTTTATCCTCGAAATGCGACATGAATTGTCCCCTAAATAATGCTAGAGGGACCAACAACTCCCCAAGCTGACGGAAAACCAAACCGATATGGCATCTCCACGTCCGACTGTTCACCTCTTTCATTTATGATTAAATTTATAGATTAGTCCCTAAACTTAACATTTTAAAATTATTTTGATCCTTTAAATTTTAAATTTATTTTTTAGTCCCAAACTTTATTTAGAATTCAACATAGGGTTTAATATTTAAGGTTTATGGTTTAATATTCTTAAAATTTAAAGGTTAGCAATTAAAGTTATTGTTTAGTATTTTGGGCTTATATTTTT